TTTTTTTTTTTTTTTTTTTTTTTTTTTGCAAAACTATTTCCCTTAAGTTTGTGGTAACTTGCATTAGCAATAGTTTTTTGAAACCATTGTAGGCCAGGAGGTGTACCTGAGTGTATGTGTGAGGCCGTGGGTTTGATCAGTCTCTGGCACCACCACCAAAAAAACAATTACGAAACTAGTTAAAGGCGTGTGTGGTTTCGCATGAACCGATAGAAGGTAGTGATTCGTAGTAAACAGCTTGGTTTGTATTTCAGCATTTAGTTATCTCCAGAATGACAGGCAGGTGGTTGAACCCTGCCTCCTGTGCTGTGTCCTAGTCCGTAGAGCCACAGTGAGTAGAGAGTGCAGCACAGAGCCCAGCCAGTGCCGCTGCTGTGACTCAGTCCTCTCACCTCAGATGATGGACAGTGAGGGATAAAAATAACTTTTGTTTGTTCTTTCGTTTCTAGGTTTTCGATGTAACTAAAACTCCTCCGATCAAAGCCCTGCAACTTTGTACTCTTCTTCCCTATCACTCAGCGCGGGTCCTTGTTTGTGGAGGGGATGGTACTGTGGGCTGGGTCCTGGACGCAGTTGATGAGATGAAGATTAAGGTATCCACCTCAGGAGCCAGCGGGGCTGGGGCGGAGCTCGGGTGAGAGCCCAGCTGGTGGCCACTGCTGCCCAGCACGCAGCCTGCACCTGGCCTGCGTTCTGTCCCTCGCACTCTAAAACTCAAGCAAAAATACAGGAGCATTTCTGAGTTGAATAGACAGTGTTTTTATTGAGGGGGTAGTAGAAGATGTTGCCGATTTGAATAGTCTGAGATTGTGATTAAGCAGATAATAAACCTGCACTTTGTGTCTCTGCTGCTTTGGTTTTTACATTTTGCAAAATATTATGCTACGACTAGTCTAAAGAGACATCTGAACTCTGTCTTTCTATTCTAGGGGCAAGAAAAATACATTCCCCAGGTTGCAGTCTTGCCTCTGGGAACAGGCAATGATCTGTCCAATACACTGGGCTGGGGGACAGGTTATGCTGGAGAAATCCCAGTTGCACAGGTCTTGAGAAATGTAATGGAAGCAGATGGAATCAAACTAGATCGGTAAGGAGCACATTGCCAAAAAGTCTGTTCCTTGCATTTTCAGAGGATTATTTGGTTTTAAATGAAAATTTGGTAGCTCTAGGGTTAAACATAATTTAAATGTAAAAGACTTTGCACATACATGCTGATGTCTTCTTTGTTATTGTGTAAGGTGGAAAGCTATACATTATGCTGAGTACTTCCCCAAATTAGCGAGCTGACTTCTTTAAATAAGGGGAAGAGAGATCAAGGGAAGGGAGAGGAATGGGGAAAAAAAGGAGCAGGATACATCAGGTACAGGTACAAATTCCTTATGATGAACGTTATCATTATGCCTATCTAAAATGTACCAGTAAATGTTGTGCTTAAAAAAATAATTTGCAATTAGATGTGAAAAACTTCTGTTTTTTAGATGGAAAGTTCACGTCACCAATAAAGGATATTACAACCTAAGAAAACTCAAGGTATGTTTTCAGTGCTTCGGTTCTGAGTACTTCTTTTGTTTTGGGGAGATTTTTGTTGTTGCTTTTTTGTTTTTGAGACATGATCTCACTTTGTAGTTTAGGCTGGGTTTAAACTGTGTAGCCCAGGCTGGCCCTGAACTCAGCAGTTCTCCTGCCTCAGCCTCCCGAGTGCTGGGATTACAGGCATGCGCCACCACGCCCGTCCTACAGAGTAGCGTGAGCAGGCAGACTTGGAGCACCTCCTTGGCACATGTGCAGCATTCCAGCAGGACGCAGGGACCTGATTATGGAGCAGAAGAGACCCCTGTGCCCACCTCACTAGCTGGTCTCTAACGCGTGACATTGTAAGAGAAAGCAGGGTGCAAGTGCCCTTGATTCTGCCGGGCAGATCAGCCTGGGAAGACTGCAGGAAGCCACATGCAAGTTAGTTCTTAGACGATAAATACAACTTGGATCAGTAGAGAAAGGAGCAGAGGACTTGCTGGAGAGCGTGAAGCATGGTTAGCTAATAGTGCAGAGATTAGAGATGTGTTTTTGTTCGCTGGTGCTGGTGGTCTGCCACCAAGCTGGACTCCCATCCACATCTGCATTTTAAAAGGATATTCTGGCTGGGTGTGATAGCGCACTCCTGTAATCCCAGCATTCAGGAGGCTGAGACAGGAGGATTGCTACGAGTCCCAGGCCAGCCTGGGCTATGTAGTAAGTTTAGGGCTACCCTGAGTTAGAGTGAGACTCTGTCTTGAAAACATAAATAGAAGGGTATTCTGGAGCTGGAGACACAGCTCAGTAGAGCACTGTGTAGCACATGTGGAGGCCCTGGGTTCAATCCCCAGTACTACAAAAATGAAAATACATTCTGGTCAGACGTGGCACATGCCCATCATCTCAGCACTCTGGAGGCTGAGGCAGGGGGGTCATCGCCAGTTTAAGAGCAACCTGGGCTACATAGTTCCAGGCCAGCCCATCTATCCCCTCCCTAGAGATAGTGAGAAAGGGGCTTAGAACCTGCACTAGAGCAAAAACAAGGGGCCTCTTAGGATGAAGACAGTGCAGAGATCTTTCAGGGTTAGCACTGCTTGAGACTGGGCAGTCAACTGGTATAAAGGGAAAAGAGAAATACGTATTACTACTAGATTTCTAATGTTCACGATTGGGCATACGGATATGACATTACCCAAGACGAAGATAGGGAGTTTCGGGCTTGGTAGAAAGAAAACGCATTAGACCAGGAATATTACTGACCCAAGCATCTGTGGAGTGTCGAGCGAGGAGCCGGCACAGAGCTGGGCGTGCAGGCTGAGTCGGGCGTGAGGGGAGCTGAGGGCACATCGCAACCTGGGCCAGAAGCTGAGAGCCCCAGAGAAGGGACAGAGCAGGCGCAGCGGCACACGCATGAGAGGCCGGTGTGGGCAGCAGAGCCCGGCGCGGTGCACAGAAGTGCAGAGGCGCGCGTCCGTGGTCGTCAGCCTGGAACGGAAGCCCGTCTCTTGTCACTTCCTAGAACAGTATAGGTTCGCTGTGTGTGGAAAATAAATACAGCAATACTCAGTGTTCGGAAAGAACCCACGACTAAGATTTGCGTATTTCAGTAGGATGCCACTCGGTCGGAAGCAGTGTCCGTTACTCACCCTCACCCTTTCTCCTAGGAGTTCACAATGAACAACTACTTTTCCGTTGGACCCGATGCGCTCATGGCTCTCAATTTTCATGCTCATCGCGAGAAGGCGCCATCTCTGTTTTCTAGCAGAATTCTTAATAAGGTGTGTTGGATAAAATAACATTTCCTGCTTATCACCGAAGGTACAGTAAAAATCAATAGTTCGATTATATTTAGCACTCTTAAATTTGGGTTGAACTAACTTGTGGAAACATTTACCTGCTGTGCTTTGTGTACTAACAGATTTTTTCAAGTCAGAAGTTAGACGTTGGTAACATTGCTTAGATGGAAACTCAATAAAATAGAGTTGTCTTAAATGGCAACTAAAACTGCAAAGAAATTTTAGGCAAAATAGGTTTTTGGCTAAACCATTAACGAGAAAGTGTATTCACTGGCTTGGAAACCTCCGCGGGGAGATGAAGCGGGAAAGGCACAGCCTGCTCTGCAAGGTCCCTTAGGGAAGTCTTGTGTGGGAACTTCTTAGATGACTTAGTGACTGAGCGGCAGCCTGTGAGAAGTAAATGTAAAACAGTTGCATTACTGGGCCTGTTTTACAAATACTTCAAATTTTAAAGTCACTCACTTTTACTAATATAGTTGTGGAGGCAGTGAGTATCACTGTTTATAGTTAGTAACTAACATTTCAGCGTTTCCATCGGCCTTTCTGTGCTCAAGATTACTAAATGTTTGCTACACTTGTCTACATTTTCCTTAATGTTTGCAAACTCTGTGGGATTTTTTTTTTTTTTTTTTTTTTTTTTTTTTTGTACCAGGGATTGAACTCGGGTCCTTGCGATTGCAAGGCAGGCCACCGAACCGCTGAGCTAAATCCCCAGCCCCTTTGGGATTGTTTTAATGCCTGGTTTTCATCATTTTTCATAGGCTGTTTATCTGTTCTATGGAACCAAAGATTGTTTAGTACAAGAATGTAAAGATTTGAATAAAAAAGTTGAGGTAAGCTATTAACACTTGTTCTGAAGTTTTACATAATTTCAAAATTAAGATTTTAGTAACAGTGCTACAGTTCCAATTAACATGCTCTGCTGGCACAAGTGGAGCGTGTATGTGTGCGCCAGCTCTTTGCTGAGTGCCTTATACACATCACCCCTCCGTTCTCGGCACAGCCCTACACGTCAAGTGTTTCTCTGTACCCCTCGTGGGAGTCAGTGACGTGTCTCATTCACACAGTGAGCTCCTGCGGGCATGGGGAGTCCGGACTGGAACTGCAGGATCTGGTTATCTGTGCTGAGCGATGGAAGTGCCACTGTAAAGTTATGTAGTGCGGTGCCGGTTCATCGTGAGCTCTCAGAGAGGTTTGGCAGTGAAGCGCAGTTCCTCCCTCTTCTGCGAGGTGTCTCTCTGACATACTAAGACACACCGAGAGTGTATACACCGTGAAAGTAGAACGTTAGTTACCGCTCATCGCTGCAGCCGCCCTCGCATCGTGGTACGGCAGTCTTGTATATGTCGCTTGCTTGCTTCCAAAAAGAATGTGTAATAATCAGTCCAGAGACCCGAAACTAGGAAGAAGGGGAGAGACGAAGGAGCAGCCCGAGCACTTAGCCAAGCAGAGCTGCCGCTGTCCAGCCTCGGGGCGCCGCACGCACAGGAGAGGCCGCAGAGTGAGCGAAGGCCTGGGATGGGGGGCTCAGCAGAGGCCGCTCAGATGGCAGTGAGGGGACGAGACCTGACGCCCTGCGAGAGAGGCAGGCCGTCGTTCCACAGGGGTCACTCGGTCCGCTGCAGACTTGGGTGTGAGTTGTGAGTGCAGGTTGCACCCCGTCGTGACTGACTGTCTGTACTTCTTTAAAGCTAGAACTGGATGGCGAGCGAGTGGAACTGCCTAATTTAGAAGGTATCATCGTTCTCAACATTGGCTACTGGGGCGGTGGCTGCAGACTCTGGGAAGGGATGGGAGATGAGACTTACCCTCTCGCCAGGTATGTACGTTGGCGCTGTTTTCCATCACTGTTTTCTTCAGTACACTCTGTTCTTTGTAACTTTCACATTTCTTGATCACATTTTCTCTTCTGCGTACTTCGTTAATATAAACACTGAATAAGTTGACGGACCACCTGTGTTAAAAGCAGCTGCTCTCAGTGGAGCCTGGTGCCACGTGCCTCTGACCCCTGTGACTCCGGGAGGCTGAGACAGGATTGCAAGTTCAGGCCCCACCTGAGCAATATGGTGACTTAAGGAGACCTAGTCTCAAAATAAAAATTTAGAAGGGGCTGGATGTGTAGCTCTTTGCAGAGGCTCTGGGTTCCTTCCCAAGTACTGAAAAAAAAAAAAAAAAAAGAA